GGGGCTGCCCCCCCACCCCATGCAAACTCCCAGGGGCTGCAGCATTTCCCAAACTCCAGCACTTTGCATCTCTCCCTTGGTGGTCACATCTGCCTCCTCTGCACCCCCCAACCTCCCCAGGCCCCTTCCTGAGGGTCTCCGGTGCCACTAAGTGACACACAGACAGGCGAGGGTGCCGGGGTGCCCCAGGGCGCCCTGGGCAGCGTGGCTGAGCGGGCAGGGTGTGAGGGAGCCTGCACAGGACCGTCCCTCCTCCTCTCTTCCGAGCATCAGGTGATGTGCCAGGGGAGTCCTACGGGTGTCCCTCGCCTCCCCGCTGGGTGCTCTTGGGTGCCATCGCTGTGACGGAGCCCAGCTGCCCGGGTGCTGCCCGGGAAGGGAGGATGCTCTGGGGACCAGAGCCCATCCTGCACGGGGTGAGCTGAGTGCGGCAAGATACGCGCTGGGAGTTGCGGGGATGCAGCTGAGTGGGCTGCCCCAGGCTCCACACTCTTTTTCTTCCCCAGCTGGGACCCGGGGACTCTCCTTGTCCCCTCCTGTCCTACCCGAGGCAGAGATCCCCTCTCCTGCTGGGCTTGCGGAGCAGAAGAGTCCCCCACAGCCGGGGCAGAGGTTGGCTGTTTCCACCCTCGGCCGTGCTGGGTGCGCAGTGGTGCTGGCGGCGGCAGCGTTAGCCCGTACCGCACGGTGCTCAGGGCAGGTTGCGGCTGGGGTGTGGAGCAGCGCCCCACAAAGAGCTTGATGTCCATGAGAGGGGAAACTGAGGCCCACGAGGGCAGCGGGACGTGCCCAAGGACCCTGCTGGAGCTGGGAATGGAAACCAGCTGTGCCCTGGCACAGAGTCCATGGCCCATCCCAGGAAGAGGAGACTTACAGAATGGGAGCCGGGAGTGGGTTCCCCCCACCACATGGCACCTGCAGATAACTCAGCCACTGCCCGGACCTGCCCCAGCCCCGGGTCCCCCCACCACCGACCCAGCCCGGGGTCCTGCCCCGCGACTGATGGGACGGAGGGTCAGCTCGTCCAGCCCCGGAGAGAAGCCCAGGGCAAAGTGACGGGGAGCTGCCCTGCGCTCCAAAGCTCTCCTGGGCTTTTCCTCTTGGCTTTAATCCAACTGCGAAAGCCAGACCCAAACCAGAGCGAGTCCTGTTCACTTTGATTCCCTGTGTTTACAAACACACACCCCCAGCCCGATCGCTGCTTGTCCAGCCTGAACCCCGCGCCCGGAGGAATCGGCGCTGCCCTGCCGACGGATGCGGGGCCAAGTCCGGAGGTGAAACGGGGACAGCCGATGTTTCGCATGGCTGACGCGCCGGCCCGGTTCCCGCTCTGCCTGCTGTCGGGGCAGAAAGGGGGGGCCGGGGGTGCTCACGCCTCAGTGCGGGCAGCCACGTTGCGGCGGGGAGGTTTTTTTGAGCAGTGCCTCCATGCAGACTTAGGGAGGGATGAAGGGAGTCGGGAAGAGGCTGACACCCCTCGACTGATGCTGGCTGCTGCCAGCACCAAATCACCTGAGGGCCAGATAGAATCAGAGAATCACAGAATGGTTTGGGTCAGAAGAGACCTTTAAAGGCCACCTAGTCCAACCCCCCTGCCATGGGCAGGGACCTCTCCAACCAGCCCAGGTTGCTCAGAGCCCCGTCCAACCTGGCCTTGAATGCTTCCAGGGATGGGGCATCTCCCACCTCTCTGGGCAACTTTGGCCGGTGTTTCACCACCCTCAGTGTAAAAAATTTCTTCCTTATATCTAGTCTGATTCTCTCCTCTTTTAGTTTAAAACCATTGCCCCTCGTCCTACCGCTACATACCCTGCTAAGAAGTCCCTCCCCAGCTCTCTTGTAGGCCCCCTTCAGATACTGGAAGGGGCTCTAAAGTCTCCCCGGAGCCTTCTCTTCTCCAGGATGAACAACCCCAACTCTCCCAGCCTGTCCTCCCAGCAGAGGGCTCCATGGCCTCATCTGAACCCGCTCCACCAGCTCCGTGTCCTTCCTGTGCTGAGTGCTCCCGAGCTGGGGGCAGCACTGCAGGTGGGGTCTCACCAGAGCGGAGCAGAGGGGCAGAATCCCCTCCCTCGCCCTTCTGGCCACGCTGCTGGGGATGCAAAGATCCCCATGGCAATGCCAAGTCCCCCTCTGGTTCAGCACAAAGCTGGTGGCAGCGGTGAGGACCCTGCGGAGATGGGTGAAAGCTGGTCACCCTGCGGTCAGTGGGGCTGCAGGGAGCCAAATCCCCCGAGCCCCCGAGTCTGGCTGGGCACAGCCCCATCCGCTCCCTGCCCCACCATCTCCCCAAAACCCCGTCAGAGAGCTGCCAGGACCGCTTGTGGCTTTATTATTAGGGCAGACGGGATGAGTGCAGAGCTCTGCCCAACCTCGCTGTGCCGCTCTGGCTCCACGGCCGGGGGAAGATGTTTTCTGGAGTTCGGTCCTTTGTGGCGGGATGGAGCAAAGGGCTTCCGAGAGCACGTTGGCATTGCTGCTTCGGCTCCTTCACATGGCCCTGTAGGGCCCTGAGAGTGTTTGCTGAAGATAAGGCCGGAGTGTATGCTCACAACACTCGTAAACGGTGTTATCTTCCGGAAACGGGAGGTGGCCATGGACCAGAGACGTCATATTTGTGAATGCCACGGCAGTGAGAGAACGTACCCAGGCTTGGCTCGCTCTGCTGCTGTGGCCAGTGCCCCGGTAGCCAGGGGCCACTCCTTCCCCAGAGCCCCATTGTGCATCGGCCGGTCCCAGGGAGGGTTGTCATCTTCTGAGTCAACCAAGCATCACGAGGTGCTTCGCCACATCCTGGCGGGTGACGTCAAAGCGTTTGGCTCCCCGATGTGCTGCTGAACTGCTGTCGAGCCGGGGGGGGCGGCCTGGCCACCCCATGCCCTCCCCGGCAGGGTTTGGGCAGCAGCCACAGCCAGGACGGCTGCCGCCATGCCGGGGAGATGGCTCCAGCAGCCACCGCAGGGATGCGAGTGTGGAGTGATGCTGACACAGAGATTGGCTTTATCAGGTCAGCACAAGCCTTGGAAGAAGGGACGAGCGAGTGACATGCACTGTGCCTGGCCACGGCTGGAAGTGGGTCCCAGCTCCCATTAAAGGTCAGCAGGAGCCGACTCGCTG